CTCTCCGTGGCCATTTAATTTGTCGCCGAGGATCAAATAGATTACACGACATTTGAAAAATGACAAAAAGGAGGGAAAATTCAAAAAGTGGGGTTGAGATGGAAAGTTAGTGTCCGAGTGGATCGAGGTCACGATAGCTCAAGTGGTAGAGCAGCGGCGTATCAAGCCGAAGATCGTGGGTTCGAATCCCGCTCGTGACACTAACTTTTTAATCTCAACTAACCTTAATTAATTTACAGATATTTATTGGTCAAGCGGACCACGAAAAATAGTGAATTTAATAGTGTTAACAAAGTTGAATCAAGAAACGTGAGGAACACTTTTCTTCTTTAAATCTGCAAAATTTAGTTAGTTTAAGTTTTACCTAAACATCTAAAATTTGTGCATTTTAACCCAAAAAAATAAAGGGGTCTTTTCACGAATCTTTGAAAAATAAAGCCTTTTTTTCCTTAAAATTGTTAACTAATTCCATTATATTTAGTTGTCAATTGACCAAATTACTTCTTTCAATTACTTAAACTTTTTATGTAAGGTTTTGGTTGAAATGAAATAGTCAGTGTCGCGAGCGGGATTCGAACCCACGACCTTCGGCTTGATACGCCGCTACTCTATCACTTAGCTCCCGCTATCCCGCTCGTGACATTGAATTTTTTATCTCAACTTAAAACTTTAATTAATTGAATGATATTATTTGGTCAACCAGGCCACGAAAAATAGTGAATTTAATGGAGTTCTTATAACTTTTGGGTTTGAATTAACAAAAACTGCTTTGTATGTTTGGTTTATAATTGTTAGTTCATATTTCCTTCTTTATTCTTTAGTAGCGATTTAGTTTGGTCATTTGATTGGAATTGACCCAGTTAAAACGATAGCCGAATTTTGAATTGATCTCGATCTCATTCCGCAAGGCCTTTTTTTTCATTAGAACGTTGAGATCAAATTGAAATGCTATGAATTTGCTGAAAAATAAATGGTTATGACGATTTTAAAGTGTTAAAACTTCTCTTTTTTTATCATTAACAACATAATTGTTTCAGGAATGCCGCTTCAACGACGTAATGCAAATAAATAATGTAAATTGGTTAGGCGGTCGCCGTTTAAGTTCAATTAGCGTTGTAGCGGACAAACAATCGAGCAAAGGCCATAAACGGAGGGGAAAATTGCCAATAACGACCTTAAAATTAAACCAGTCGCAAAACGCCCGCATGGTTTCCTCAATAAAGAAAAAAAACACGTCATTTAATAACGATAATGCAGGGAAATCGATTTCACCTTGAGCTTGACTTTGAGTAAAGCACGTCCGACTTTACTCGAGACTTTTATTCCAAAACGGCCATAGGAACGAGTCCTCCGAGCCCTTTTCTCTTTAATTGACTTTAAAAACACACAGCTTCCGTCATTACGAAACACGTAAGTATAGCCGTTTTAACGACACACGAACCTACAAAACGATAGGCCAAGTTTAAATAATAAACGTTACGTAAATGTTACACAAATCGAAAAAAAAATTAATTATGAGAAAGTTATAACATAACCCAGCACAGAGAATACACCCCCTTTTCATATAATTTCCCTGTACAACAACACTTCCAACAATCTAATCCGAAGATAAGGGTTAAGATATCATTTAATATTTGTCGTAATCTAATCCGAAACGAGTTAGTCCAAAGATCTTCGAGCTGAGCGCCAATAGGCAACAATGCAAATATAAATCAGCTTCAGACTAAACAAAAATTACTAGTTCTAAAATAGCCTAAACTTATGATTTTCTTATCAAGAATTGCACAAGTTTGCAGATTACGGAATATTCCTTTGTTGCATATCATGTACCTATATGTTTCTGATTTGAACTTTTTTATAGTTGTTTGTTTTTTCTTGCTTCGGCTTTCACTGCTGGGCGGGTATCAAACTTGCTAGTAGTCATTGTTATGTTGCTCAGCATCAAAACATTTCTTGCAGTTCTATTATTTCATGGCTTTTTATTATTTTAGATGATTTGAAGGATGAAAATTTATAACTATTTTATTAGGGTGAAGTAATTTTTCTATAGAACTGAAAGTGTTGAAATTTAATGGCAATGCTAGCCATTTTTTTTTTTTTTTTGCTGCTTAACAACATAACATTTCTTGTAGTTCTATTATTTCATGGCTTTTTATTATTTTAGATGATTTCAAGGATGAAAATGTATAAATATTTTTTTAGGGTGAAGTCATTTTTTTATAGAACTTAAAAGTGTTGAAAATTTAATGGCAATGCTAGCCATTTTTTTGTTGCTCAACAATATAACATTTCTTGTGGTTCTATTATTTCATGCTTTATATTATTTTAGATGATCTCAAGGATGAAAATGTATAACAATTTTATTATGGTGAAATAATTTTAATAAGTAATAAATTTAATGGCAATGCCTTATTAAAAACTTTAGGTAAATAAAGTTTAATATCAAGTAATAGGTTTTTTAAGCTTGTACAAATTCCTTCGGCGTTTAAATTATATTGTTGTTATAAAATATGAATAAGAAATTCTGATGTTATCAAAAATTTATTATAAAAGATTCCGACGTTAATTTTTCGAAACGTGAGCTCATAAATAACTTATGGTTTCTAATTATCCCAACCAGTTCTTTCTTCCAATGTTATAAAACTGATAAGTTGAAGCAGTTAATGACTTTTTTCCCTGGTCAGAAACATGCTTATATTAATAATGAATAATGTAGAAATGGGTTTCTTCTACTACGTTTAAATATTAATATTCATTGTTATTCATACTGTATGCTTTTTTTTAGTATTTAAATAATGCATGCTAATCTGTGCACATCACTCCCGCTCTATCTCCCACTTTTATTACTCTATCTCTGTTTCTCTCTCATCCCATTTTTAATTCTCTCTCTCTCTCTCTCTCACTGTCTCTCTCTCTCTCTCTCTCTCTCTCTCTCATACTCTCTCTCTCACTCTTTCTTTTTTATCTATCTATCTATATACCCTAACCATCTCTATGTCTATCTAGCTAGGTTCAGTTAAGGACTATGAGGACGTAAAGATGAGGAATGTTGGGTACTAAGACCAGTGAGACTCCGATTCCTAGTACCCTTATTACTATACCATACAATACTATACCAAGACCAGTGGGCGAGGTGTGGAATTATGGGAATTTATAACTTTTATCTAGATATTTTCTCTCTCTCCCTCTCTCACTCTCTCTATCTTTTATATATCTATCTATACATATATGTACTATCTAGCTATCCTTCTATTTATCTTTAGATCTACCTGGCTAGTTTCGGTCACTGGTGAGGACTATGAGGACGTGAAGATAAGGAACGTTGGGTACTATAAGACCAGTGATCGAGGAGTGGAATTTATAATACCAAACTTTTATGGAGAGACAAATAGATTCTCTCTCTCTCTCTCTTCTCTCTCTCTCTCTCTCTCTCTCTCTCTCTCTCTCTCTCTCTCCCTCTTCCATCTATCTATATATCTATCTCTGTCTAGTTCTCTTTCACTCTCTGTCTATCTCTCTATCTAACTATCCGTCTTCCATGATCTCTATAAATTTTCTTATTCATTGTAAGAAAGATTGTTCACGACCTAAATTTGCGGGATTTTTTCACCTTCTCTCTTTCTTTCTCTCTCTCACACACACACACACCCTCTCCCTCTTTCCACATACAGGAAACACATACACACTTTTACGATTTAATTCTCTCTCTCTCTCTCTCTCACTCTCACTCTCACTCTCACTCTCACTCTCTCTCTCTCTCTCTCTCTCTCTCTCTCTCTATTTATATATCTATCTATCTATCTCTATCTCTATCTATTTATCGGTCTATCTATCCGTCTACCTACCTATCTATGTCTCTTTCATACTCTCTGTACATTTTCTCATTAATTGTAAGAAAGGTTATCCAGGACTTAAATTTGCGGGATTTTTTTTCATCTTCTCTCTCTCTCACACAAACACACACACACACTCTCTTTCCTCACACAGACACACACACATTTTTACGATTTCATCCATTATATTTTTCTCCCCATACTCTTATTTCTTGGTATCTATACGTTGAGCCTATCTATAAGTTTGCCATATCTTTTAGGTAAAATGTCGGACCTGTAATAAATTTAAATATAATGCACTAAAGAGGGAGACGTAGAGTGTGAGTGTCTGTTAGCTTTTGTTCGGTAAGCATTTCTAAACGATAAATTCAATTGTGGCAACCGACTTTAATAAAGGATTGTTAAATCAAATAAAAGTTTAATTGCCTGTAACTGGCTGGATACTGGGTCGAATGATTTCAATTTTCCGATCCATTGGTCCGGCCTGGTTCGACGGAAGACCATTCGAATGGTCTTTAATTTATTCCCACCGATGTTTAACGTAAATAATATGTGATTGTTTTTTATATGAGACTAGAAATAAAATATGGAGAAAAGTTGAAACGAAGACGGAACGAAATGACCGGATATGACCAAACCAGAAGTTCACCAGTACTAATTTCGTACTTAAATTGTAATTGCTCCTTATACTTGTTGTCTCACACTTGTTCGTACAGCTTTTATTCTTTTATTTATATGTAGTTTTATGTACTATTTAAGTCCTGTCGCATCCGTCTAGCATCATCATTTGTTGTTTCGTTCAAAGGTTAAACTGTCTTTTGAAATATCAATAGGACGTTTATAAACGCACAAGGTAAAAGGGGAAACCGTGTAAGTTTTTAGTAGAACATCCGTGCGATAAATATGCACATATATCGGAATAGTTGATATTGCGAGCTTTTGTCTCGGTTCTTAAAGGTCAAATGTAAATTGATTTGCCCGTGTAATAAATATCCAGGCGTTTTGAGTGACTACCACTTTGTCATTTATGAAAGAATCCATAAATCAAGATTTCGAACTTAACAAATAAAGTTTGCACGATAAATCATGGGAATATTCATTATCTGTCTCTTCTGTCGTTGTCAACTCTATTTTTTATGTATTTTTAACGATTTCTTCTTTTTTCAGGATGCTTAAGGATGGACACGATGTCCAGACCTGACGAGAGGGCAGCTGGTGTCATTACGGGCACGGACCCTTACAGAGAGTTAGAGCTCTACTTGGAAAAAGTCAATGTAAGTCTTTCTTATCTCAAAAATAATCAAACTGATAAGTCTTGGATTTCGAATAGTTCGGCGATGATTTGCGCCCCGGGATCGAAGCTTCCTTCTTAGGCGTCCATATTTTAAAAGCTTTATCTTATAATCTCGAATACAATGAAAGCAAAGCTTATCTTATTGGAAGGTGTTCGATCAATGGCCACCATCTCGACCCGGGCCACCAACGTCTCATGACTGATCGGCCCTAATTCCTTTCCGGGTGTGTCGCCCCTCATCGTCGAGCCCCCTGGTTAAAATTCAACCCGGGAGTCCCTAGGGAAAAAAACTGTTGAATAAGGAGATGAAAGACGACCACTTCCTCCAGGGATGGCATTCAAAAGCACACGATCCTCGGCCGACAATATATCTCGTTAATAAGGCAGGGTGTCTCATTTGACGAATTTCCTCATTAAAACTTATTGTACTGCGAGTAGGGACACTCTTTACATAAACATAGAAGGACTTAAAAGGAACTTTTTTATTCAATTCTAATTGCACAAAACTATTCAACTAGACAAGAAACTCTTTTAAAAAAAACCTCATACTAACGCAGTTAGTTATATCCATACTGTCGATATGTAAATTATCAATTAAAAAATAAGCAGCGCTTGAATGTGGAAACTTTACTTTAGGCACATTTACTTTTCTTTTTTTACCACACAGATGAGGGCATGTTTGCATTTTGGATATGGTATGGTATGGTGAAAAAGGATATTAGGCAGCGAGGTTGACACTGCAGCCTTCGGGCTTATTGTACCTTCCTAGTTCCTTAGTTCAGTGCAATAGACTCAATTCTTCTTCTTAGAAATATCAGGTCATTCACTGTCGCTGGTGCAATTTGATTCCCTAAGTTTTTTCCGTACGTTAGGTTAAACCTACATTGAGCTGTTGTTTCGCATTCGATGATGATATGAGTGACTGTTTCCTCCTCCTCATTACATAATCTGCAAGTGGGATCATTGCTATATATACCCATGTGTAGATGTTTTCTCAGATGCCAGTGACCGGTCCTACAACTCCCCTGAGTTTGGCCCTCTCCAATAGCAGCAGTGCTTTTGCCAGTCTTGGTGAGGGTTGTTTCATCATAAGTTTAATATGTCTAGCACGTTAGAGTTTATCCACTTCTCCTTTTTTTTTGGATCCGTTCTGCGATGGAGGATTCTATATTTCTTTTTGTTATCCCAAGAATAGGTTCGGGGCATTACAGATCCTCGTCTGGCCAGTCTGCCTGCTTTCTCGTTACCCTGTGCCCTGGCACCCAACATATCATCGGATTGTTGTGTTTCCCCAGGTTTTGTAGATTTTGGATGCATTCACTGACTAAATTTGATGCGATTCTTTTACATGCTAATGCTTTAATGGCTGCTTGGATATCTGATCTTATGAGGATTTTTTGTCAGTGTAACCTCTTTTAAGATTTTCCAGGGCATGTATTTTTGCTTGAAAGACCGAAGTGTACTTCCCTAATGAGTTTGATTGCTCATGTTTTGGGCTTGTACAGAAATCCCCTGATACGATTCCTTCGATAGCCAAGCAATCTGATCTTATGGCATTTTGGATAAGCTAGTTATACGATTCCGCCAAGTTGTATTTCTTTATATAAAAGTTAATTCTTGATGCTAGGCACTTGCAAAGAATATACGAATAAAAGGCATACTGGAATTAATAAAACGGTAATAGTTCCAGATTTATTTTTGGGTAGATAGAATAGACGTATTATTGGAAACTTTACATGTTAGCGTTCGTTGTACTTTTATCCAATTTAGACTTAGAAATACACTCAGATGTAGATATAGTTTCAGGGTATAGTATACTGCGCCCTTTAAGAGCTATTGTATCCCCGTGCTCTGCCTAAAGCACATCGGTGAGTTCTATTTCATCAAGAAACTGGATTAATAGGCCCGGTTTCAATGGTTGAAGCTTTTCTATGGTCACATTGTACACCCCAAAACACTTGTCACTACTGGTCACACTGTAGCACCGCAGTTCGTTAGTAGATGTGTTGGTGTCTCTTCTGCCTCTTGGCATCTGAATGTGCATCTTGGTTATTCCAATTTTATTTAACTTGCAGTGTCCTGTTAGGAATGCTATTAGGATTCGCAGTTTGTTTCTCCTTCCCTTGACACATTCTGTAATTTCTTTCCTTCCAAAATTGGTTAAAAGATTCTCAGATTGTCTGTGTCCAATGAGTGAATTCCATAGTTCCTTCATTTTCTTTTTGTCCTTCTGTCTGAGATACTCGTTAATAGTGTGGGTTCCTATGCCACAGAAGGGTTCGAGTCCTATCAGTGGTGTAGCAGTCCCTTTCTTGTAAGGGTGTCCGCTTCCTCGTTGCCTTCTTCTCCCATGTGTCCTGGGACCCAGCGGAGGCTGACTTTATTCTGCGTACCTAATATGTTTAGTTTGGTTTTGCAGTTCAGCACCATCCTTCTACTAATGACATTTGAGCTTAGTGGTTTGATGGCTGCTTGGCTATCTGACATGGTAGCTATTTGCTGTTTTTGTACCCTTTACTTAGGTTGAGTTCGGTACATCTTTCGATTGCATGAATCTCAGCATGGAAGATACTGGTGTATTTTCCCATGGGGTCTGAGTATTTGATTCTAGGTCCGAATACTCCTGCCCCTGTACCTTCCTGTGTTCTAGATCCATCTGTGTACCAAAGATGGTACCATTCTTGAAAGAGTTGTTTCCCTCTCGTTCCCATTCTTTTTTGGTACCTTTTGGAAATTTTGGTTAAATTCAAACATCCCCTTTATGTCGTCTCTTGGAGCCATGAGTATCGTATGGTCTTTCCATAGTATGTTGCTATTTCTCCGTTTTAGTTTTAATCCTGTTATACACTCAACATACGAGGTAATCGGTATGGGTAATAGCGCGAATGTGCGGACCAAATCGTATTTCGAGCTTAATACAAACAATTCATGTCTGCTTTTACTATAAACTTATTCAATTGATGTCAAATTCTTCGGAAAAAAAGAGTAAATTATGATATTTATGATACAAGTTACAAGGCGAGTTTTAGATTGCGTTCAGGCCATATTTTGGGATAAAACAGAAATTCTGCATATTCAGACTTCTAGGATTTCTTCTTCATTCAACGTAGATATCAAAATTTCTAGAAGACATGTAACTGATTTAAATTAAATGTTTCATGACCAGAGATTTGACAGTTTTATCAAAATGATAACCTTTATCTAGACGAAGAAATTGGGAATATAGATATATATAGTACCGTTGACGTTATTGAAACACCTTATGAAAATATTGAGACAGTTTTATCTTAAATTTTACGTGTAGTTATTTTCAGGTATAATTTTGGGTAAACAAAGCAAAATCGTTTAATATAAGCCTGTTGAACTAAAAGCTCCGTCTGCTTCTGAAACATAATTTGAGATCGAATTTTGAGGCATTGTCCTCCCTGTCAGTATTGAGTTTCTAAAATATACAAAATTACATACAATTGGCTAAACAATAATTTTCATAATTAACCTTTTTATGTAAGGTTTTGGTCGAAATAAAAAAGTTAGTGCCACGAGCGGGAATCGAATCCTCAAAAGGAGGGAAAATTCAAAAGGTGGGGTTGAGATGGAAAGTTAGTGTTCGAGTGGATCGAAGTCACGATAGTTCAAGTGGTAGAGTAGCGGTGTATTTAGCCGAAGGTCGTGGGTTCGAATCCCGCTCGTGACACTGACTTTTTTTATCTCAACTAAAAGCCTTAATTAATTGAAAAATATTATAATAATGTTTATAAAAGTGACTAGTTCCTTATCAATCCTTTTATATCTTTCCTACCCAATCTTAAGTAAGAAGTTTTTTTTTACGTTCTTCACTTTGTTTCAGTTAATAATAATAATTTATACGACATAGTACTAATATGTACTAACGGGGGCCACGGTAGCCGAGTGATTAAGGCGTCAGACCCTCGGCTAGTAGATTCCGCGGTCATGGGTTCGATCCCCACCGTCGCCTCTGGACTTTTTCTGACGCATAAGGGGACCGGTGGCCGCAATTGAAAGAAATTGACACGGCACTCATCAATGGAAGGAGTGGGATCAGATCTCAGCGACCCTGAATTTGATCAATTTGATCAACCCTCCAACCCCCTTCAAAAATGAGTTTCTTCAAAGGAAGAACACCGGCGCACCGGGTGCTCAAATTCTCACTTATGTTGCGAGCCCCCCCCCCCCCAAAAAAAAAAAAAAATGGAGCCAGGGATAAAGTACAATAAGCTGTACAGCAGCAGTGCTCAGGAGGGAACTCCTCCAGTTCCTGGTATCCATTGTAAAAAAAAATGTACTAATAAAAGAGAAAATAATGACGCGTGTAGACGAAATACAGTGGGCTTTTCATAATGTCATATATCCAAAATATATAATAAAATTCAGTTACAATTGGATAACCCACCTCGTTTCAGATCCGGAAACGCATAAAAACGATTCCTCCAGGGTTACATGCATTCATTGAATGAAGTTATTTTCAGCGATGACGTAGGTTTTTGTGTCATTGGTGTTGTTCCATTTTTTACATATTTCATTGAAATTTATTCTTAATTTTACAATCCAACGTTTACTACTTTGAGATTTACATATTAGTTCCGTTCAGAGCTTTTATTTACATGTTTTTACATTTTTACATCTATTTTAAATTATTCTTGTGCATTGCTAAAATATTTTTATATATTTTGTTTTTTACTTGTATATTTAAGCTGTTATTTTTCATGGTGTTAAAAATTTTCTCCATCCCAAATAAATTTTGATGATTATTTTGTATATCTTTACTTCCTTTAAATTTATATCGTGTCCTTTGTCTTTCTTATGTGGCTTAAATCTGTATAATCAACTATTGTTCAATAATTTTTTTACGAGGGTTCGCAACAACAAAGGTCATATGAACCTTCAGGGTGCCGGTGTTTTTGATAAAAAAGCCCATTTGTAAGTATGTCGGGTTCGAATGCAGGGCCGCTGGATTCGAACCCCGGACCTCTAACTTACAGTGATGAACGCTGTGTAACACCTAAACCGTTGCGGCCACCGACGCGCTCATCATTTTTATGTCGAGTTATTATTTTGTATAATAATAATACAGTTTTACCTTGTACGTTTTATGACTTATGTACTATACCATTAAATAAAATACCAGCTCGAAAAGGAAGAAGAAGAATTAAGTGAAAATCAGCTCACAAAACGGAATAGTAGCAAGGTAAATCGGACCATTTACTTATATTTTACGTAATTTCCAAAGTTCTTTCGCTGTGTAACCACCTGGAACAAATTCCTCTCTGATTTTACTTAAAATTAATTCAATCGTTAAATCTCTTCATTTGTTAAAAAAGAATCAAGGGGGATTCTAATTAGAAGAAAAAAATCCATATTTTCTTGGTGGTCATAGTTGACCATATTAATTATTCCAATTAATTATTTTTTGATCTAAGGTTTTTGGTTGAGATGAAAAATTTATAATTTTAATAATAATTATTTTTCATCTCAACCAAAAACCTTTAAAAAATTTAATTGAAATAGAAAGAAAATATGAATTCAATTAGGTTTCGTGGTCCGATTGACCAAATAAATTCTTTTCAATTAATTTATCTTTAAGTAAGGTATTGGTTGGGATAAAAAAAATCTGTGTCATGAGCGGGGATTCGAACCCACGATCTTCGGCTAAATACGCTGCTGCTCTAACACTACGAAAAATGGCAAAAAGGAAGGAAAATTCAAAAGGTGCGTCCGAGAGGATCGAAGTCACGTTAGCTCAAGTGGTAGAGCAGCGGCTTATTTAGCCGAAGGTCGTGGGTTCGAATCCCGCTCGTGACACTGGCTTTTTCATTTCAACCAATACCTTACATGAAGATTAATTAATTGAAAAAAATATTAATCTTCTTCATCGAGCATCAAGGGTTATGGTCAAGTTATATGGTTTTAATTACAATGGCAATAAATATTTTGGTCATTTTTCATGAGATCAAACGAGCAGTAATTCTTTAAACAATGGGTATTTT